ACTATTCCCTGAGGAAATCTGTTGGATCCAGGTTGCATCCAATAAAAATCACATTAAGTTGAACTGGGTTTAACGTGTGCTTGGTCAGCACCCCGCTGTTTACACTTTCTCAAGAACAGTTGCTTTTGGGGTTGTTTCACATGTGTTTCTCTGTGTCTTGCTTACAAGCATAGGCCATGAAGTCTGACAGATCTTGTTTAAAATCCCAGCTCCACTAATATTGCTAAAATTGTCACACTACCTAAAGTGATCTACAGAATCAACGCAGTCCCTATAAAAATACCAATGCCATTGTTTACAGAGATAGAAAAAAAATCCTAGAATTCACATGGAACCATAAAAGACCTCAAATAGCTAACACAAGCCCGAGAGGGAAATAAAAGCTGGAGGCACCACACTCTCTGACTTCAAAATATACTACAAAACCGTAGTAACCAAAACAGCATGTACTGGCATAAGACATATAGATCAATAAAGCAGAATAGAGAGCACAGAGACAGACCCACATATCTACAGCCAACTGATTTTCAACAGAGATGCCAAGAACTTACATAGGGGAAAGAACAATCTTTTCAACAAATGGTGCTAGGGAAACTGGATATTCTCATGCAGAAGACTGAAACTAGACCCCCTATCTCTCACCACTTATAAAAATCAACAATGGTTTAAAGACTTAAATGAAGACCAAAACTATGAAACTACTGGAAGAAAACATAGGAGAAACGGTTAAAGGACGTTGGTCGGAGGACACTCATAAGGAGCAAATATTTTATAGATAAGGCTTTAAAAGTGTGAGAAACAAAAGCAAAAATATGCAAATGGGATTATATCAAACTAAAATCTTTCTGCACAGCAAAGGAAAGAATCAACAGAGTGAAGAGACTGTAGAATGGGAGAAAATATTTGCAAACTATACATCCAACAATTATACATTTCTCCCATGCTACAGATTTGGATGTATATTTACAACTATACATCCAAATCTGTAGAATGGGAGAAAATATTTGCAAACTGTGTATCCAACAAGACATTAAAAGGAACTCAAACAACTCAACAACAACAACAACAAAAACAAGCAATCTGATTTTAAAATGGGCAAAAGATCTGGTTGCAGTCAACAGCTGGATGATTTATTTCCCTCTGGGCACCTAACCCTGCTTTTGGTGGTCAAGGCCAGCGTACTCAGCCTGTAAGGAGGTCACGTGGCCCCTGCATGACTAGAAGGGTTTGAATTTCAAGAGACAAACTCAAAGAGGTAGGCAGGGCTAGACATGACAGGATATTCTGTAAGTCTTGCTAAGAAGTTTGGCTGCATCCTAAAAGCAGAGAAAGACACGTAGCGGTTTGAAGCAATGGGATGATGTCATCAGCTTCCCAGGAATTCTGGCTGCTGTGTAGAGTGGATTGAGTGGGGACAGCCTGAAGCAGGGAACCTGGTTAGGAAACTGTCCCTGTGGTCTAGCTAAAAGGCGCTCATAGGCTGGGCTGGGAGAATGGCCATGCATGGGAGTGACTGACAGAGCAGGTAACTCCCATTCTGTACTTTCCAGGCATTTTAAATCTGTGAAGTAGGTCAGGCTGGTTCTTTGATTTACAGATCAGAGAGAGAGAAAGGGCAGTGACAAAGTGGTCCCCAAGTATGACCTTCCCATGTCTGCTATGCATCCCCAGCGAAGCCTGCATGACCTTGGGGGTTAGGTGAATGGTGTCAAGGGCATTCGCGTATGTATTGGTCTCTCCTATCGGGCGGTGTTCTTGCATTGAGGAGCTTGTCTTCACAAAGGTCTGGAACTAAGTAGGGCACGGACTAGTGTTCCCATTTTTGCCCTCATTTTCTGATACCCCAGGGCTTTCCCCCTCCCCATCACATGGTCATCTCCCTGCCTGGAGTCACCATTGTCTGCTTCACACATTTGCTTCCTCCACTGGATTCTGAAGGGAGGCTGTAGCCTAGTCGCCACCAACTACCCAGGGCATATGAATGCCTGCTGTGGTTTTATAGAATTGTTCCATCACAGAGCCCACCAGTTAAAGTCAGAGGTCCTCTCTGATATCCCCACATGTGCAGTGCAGTGAGCTTCCTGCAGGTACCCCATATAACATCTCAGTCAGCTCTCCCAAGCAGACTCTTTATCTGACTCTCTTTAGCACACTGCTACTTCGGTTAACCCAGCATTTCCTTCTGTTCTGGCGTTATAGCTTACTTGCTTGTCTGTTTTACTCACTCAAATATGAAGCCCTTGAGGACACATGTGTCTGGGTTTTATTCATCTCAACATTCTCCATAGCCTTGAACACCTGGCATATAATAGGTTCTTGAAAATGAGCAAATAAATGAGTGAATGAATAAACAAGCAAATTAATGAATGAATGAGTGAGTGAATCAGTGAATGGTCAGCTCTTCTTGTTAAAAAGTGCTTCTTTACCTTCAGCTAAAATACGTCTCCTGTTAACCATCACTTTCTGAGCTGATTCTACCCATTGACTCCATGCAGAGCCCTCTCCTCTTCCTCACGGCACCTTCTCATATAGCGGAGCCTCAAGGATTTGCTTTCTGTCCTTTGAACATGCCAACCTGTTCCTGCCCAGCTTGACCCCACCTTAGGGTCTTTGCACTTTCTCTTATGGCCAAGCCCTTTGGCCCTATTGCTCTCTACAACTGGATTTTCCTTGCCATTTGGGTCTCAACTCAAATGTCACCTTCTCAGAAAGATCTTTACTAGCCACTCAATCTAGAGCACCCCTGCCCCCAACCCCCTTACACCTCTTTATCTCTCTGGGCTGAATTCTGGATGATTCTGGATGATTTCCTCGGATCTGCCTTTCAGTTTGCTAAATCTGCCTTCATCCATGTCTCGTCTGCTGTTAACCTGCCTGTAGAGGTCTTCTATCAGTTATTCTATTTTTCATTTATAGAACATATATGCAAATATCATGATCACTAATATTTTAAAGTCTTCTTTTAGAATTCCTATTACATGAACAACTCCCCCATCCCTTGCAAAGTGATCTATTCTATTTATTGCATCTGCTGATTGTCTCTCAGATGTTTATCTGTAATTCCTGTGATATTTTTAGATGCAATTTTATCAGAAATTATCATCTTTTAGTGTCCCACATGGGTTTTGGAAGTGACCCTGTGGGTACTCATTATTTCTTAAACAGTTGTTCCATTAATTTACTGGAGAATGCAATATCTATGTGTTATCATGTATAATGTAGGGAAAGAATGTTGCCTTCTTGTGTTTGAGATCACTCACCTGCTTCTAGTGACCGCTACTACAAGTTTAACTTGTTGCTTTGTCCTCACAGTGGAGCATCACTCAATGCAGCAGTACCCAGATGTCAGGTACATATGAGCTTAACACATAAGACTCCCCTTCAGCTTAATGCATGAGCATGGAGCTCACTGGAAACACAGATTTCCAAGATCGGCCTCATGAACACTGAATTCATAAATCTGAGATTAAGCCTAAGAATCTGAATTCTTATAAAGCTCCCCAAGGGATTCTGATTTATATATAAGTTTGGATACCATTGATCCTATAAGCTTTGAGGATTTAAATTTGGTTTATTTTTGTCTTGCTTATTCCTACCCCAGAAAAGGATTTGAAGCTGTGTACCTATAGACAGATAAAAATACATTTTGAAAAGCAGACTAAAGACACCTACACGAACAATACCCTGAGCAAGTGAGACCTGACCTTGCTTCGTGACCACAGAAACATGAGGTGAAGCTGCGGTTGACTTCTGCACCAACACCCTTGGGGTGGGTGCAGCCACGAGCTGTGTGCGAGCCATCACTGCCCAGCTCTGAGACTCTCAGCATTGCAGCAAAGCCTGGCTTGGCAGAATCAGTCACGGGGCAACTGTGGAACTGCAAAGGGATGCTGTGCACAGACAGGGTTTTAATTTTCCTAGGGTCCCTCTCTGCACACTGTCACATTGCTCAGATATGTTTCTTATCTCTGGCGCTTCCATGAAGGCTCTTCTTGGCAAACTAAGCTCTGTAGACCCGCTCTCCACCACTCACGCCGTACTGAGCCCCTCCCAGCCTGTATTCTCTCATACTTCTTGGCTTCTGCCCAAGCTCTTTCCTCTGCCCAGAAAACTCCTGTTTATCTCCAAGACTTCTCAAATGTCATCATCTCCAGACAGCCTTTCTTTCACCCTCCTTCATTTTCTTCCTTCCTTTCACCCTTGCGAAATCATTTTTTGAGTCCTTACCATGTCTGGAGTTCCCGCTCCCATCTTCCCTCCACACCAGCATCTGTCACACGGCCAGCCGTCACAGGCTCATCTGCCACATCACTCTGCGTCTCTATTTTCTTCACACTGGCTTCACCTGCTCCCTCCCTCTCTCTGCAGGGCTTTTGCACAGGCTGCAGGCTCCTTCCCTGGCACCCTGACACCGACTCCTGCTATCCCCACCTCCGCTGTTACTCCTCCTCCTGCACAGCAGCACCTGAGACGTGCATTTGTTTTGTGATTCCTATGTCACACTGTGTAACCTGAGGATGGCAAGCAGGACATCCCCTCTGTGTAGAGCGGAGCCTGCCACACAGCAGGTGCCCCACCACCTTTTGTGGGAGGAACAAATGAAGACGTCCCAGAGCAGCCCAATTTGCCTCCTCCTTCTCCAGTTGTTCTCAGCCTTCTTTTGGCCGTTGGCCCCTTTGAGAAGCTCCCAAAAGCTAGAAACCCTCTCTACACAATGTGCACGAATGCTTACTTACATAAAATCTCCATATCATTTCAAGGGTGTGAAGCACCCCAAATAAAGACAGCATTACCTATTAATTACAAGGTAAGATTCTTTTCTGAAGAGCAGCTGATGAATTGTATGATAGACATCTTGCAATATAAGTCCACCACATGTGGAATTTAAAGTGGGTTTCCCAGTGACATAAAGGCGTGTATATGTGGATGGCTTCATGTAGAAGCCACTCTGGTTGCTATGTTCCCTTTAAGAACCAATTTCCCTGATTTTGTCATTGCAGAAAGGAAGACAGCACAGAAGCAAACACAGCAAGCTGGAAAATATTTACATCCTTCTCAACGGACAGAGAAGAGGTGGCCCACCATGGTTCACGATCCTTTCCAGAGAGCCAGATTATAAGCCAAGCAACCATCTTCCTGTCTCAGGTCACTAATGGGGAATATTTCTACTCTGTATGATGCCAAGCAGGGAACCCAAGAGATGGCTGCTGACCGTAAGAAGCCCACATTTATTGGCATGGGTGAGTGGCAGGAAGCTGGGTCTGGAGACCCAAGGACCCAAGGACCTGTTGGCTCTGCTGCTCCGACGCTGGGTCACTGTGCACAAATAACTCACCTTCTTCCAACGTCCTCTTCATCTGTTTGAGGGTCCTATGCCTACTTGACAGTTTTGACAACCAAGTGAGCTAATGGCTGGGAAAGTGCCTGAATACCATAAGATTCTCCCCAAACGTTGGGGGCCTTGCTGTGTTTGTGAAATGCAGTTCCTTCGTCTTAGGGACTTCACTAACGGTTGTTCAGGAGCACACTCTTGCCGTAAAGACGCATGGATTTACCATTCTGCATAGCTTCTATCCAAGATGGCTGATGAGGGGATGGTAGGATCAGGGTTTTAAAAAATAATTGAAGTGGTTATTTTGATATTATAGAACTCCTGCAGATGCTTGGGCTAAGATGGAGTTCTCAACTTGCACGAAAAGTTGCATGCAAGTGAACTCTTTCCTAAGGAGAAGGAGCATGGATTTCATCTGATTTGCAAATAAGACTGGTAGACAAACACCCGAGCAGCCAAGCTCCCTTAGTCTAGGCAAAAAGGGCTCTCTCAGGAAACCCAGAGACCAACTCTGCCTCCAACTTGCTGGTGACCTTAAGGCTGCCCCTTGGCTTCTATCTGCCTCGGCTCCTTATCTGTAAAATGGGTGTAGCACAGCCTTCCAGTTGCTGAGCTCCTACTGAGACACCGGCTCTGGCCAGGCAGGAAGCTTCCAGACCCAGCCTCCTTGCTTCCAGAGTAAGTGAAGAGCTCTTCTTCTCTCAAACATATCACTTCAGGCAACTTGTGTCCAGGAGTTGTACCCAACTGACCACAGCACCCCAAAGTGCCCAGGCATGCAGCCTCATTTCAGCTCCTTTTGCTGGACAGTTAATGAGCATCACAGCCCACTTGCTGTGCTTGGACCCAGGAGAGTCTGCTTCCTGTGACACCATTTCCCTGTAAACTGCAGGGCTGTGAGGCCCGCTTACACTGACAGCCAGGGGCCTGGCAGGGACCTGTGAAATCTCAGTACCACCCAGGAAGATGCAGTGAAAAGCCAGCTGCTGCACGGGGAAACCTCAGTGAGCCGCATGTTTTCCTGCCCCGGATGCTGTGAGACAGCGAGTGGTGGCCGGAAGTCAGGCCTGGCGAATGGAGTTGGCCGCGGGTGTCTCAGATCTCCGCAGATCCTGGGGCAGTGGTCGGTGCTGGGTGAGCAATAGTCAGGCCCCACACCACGTTACAGACCTTAGAGAATTTCCAGTCCACAGCGGGTACTGGCGGCCCTTGGGCCAGATTCGGCCCACAAATGTATCACATTTGGCTTACATTTTATGTTTTTCTAATTGTGAATGCACTTCGTGCCAGTGAGCTGGATACTTAAAAATGGTTAAGAAGGTATGTTTCTCTAAAACCCTAAAACGTATCTTCTTAACCATTTTTAAGTATTGGTTCAGTGGCTCGGAGTGCATTCACACTGATGTGCAGCCATCACCTTCATCCATCTCCAGAACCTTCCATCTTGCAAAACTGGAACCACTATATTCATGAAACACTCATTCCCCACTCCCCTGTCCTACAGCCGCGGGCACCCACCCTTCTACTTTCTGCCTCTGTGAATCTGAACACTCTAGGACCTCGTATGAGTGGAATCATACAGTCAGTCATCTGACTGGTTTATTTCACTTAGCACAATGTTTTCGAGGTTCACGTGGCAGCATGTGTCAGAGTTTCTGTCCTTTTTATGGCTGAATAATATTCCAGTGTGCAGATGGACCACATTTTGTTTATTATCCACGCACTGATGGACCTTTGGGTGGCTTCTACCTTTTTGGCTATTGTGAGCATTACTCCTACAAACACAGGTGTACAAATATATTCCTATGTTGCATTTTTTAATATTGGAGTTAGCAAGTGGTATTTAAAAACCAAGAGATTTCATACACAAATCTGGATTTCCGGCTTCTCTTAGAAACTCAGTGTATCTGACAGCATGGGGCCTCTATCTTCCTGGCCGCAGTGAGAGGTGAATGAAGCCAGCTCACTCCCTCCCCTACTGAGAGGCACCCCTGCCAGTGGACCACAGGGCCCCGACTCCTTTCCCTCCACTCACTGCAAAACCTGCCTGGGTTCCACAGTCTGTGGCTTAGTGACACCTCATCCACTCAACACCCTCACATTATGGACAAAAATGCGGAGGCCCAGGGAGGAAGGGTGGCTGGGGCTCGAGGTCTCACAGGCCAGAAAGCGCTACAACAGCTGAAATGCAGGAAGGGCCTGCAACTGGGCATTGCAAAGCCTTGGTTCTACTTCCAGCTCTGCCACCTGCCTTTCCCAGGGACTGGGACAAAGCCCTTCAACTTTCTGAACCTAAATTTCCTCTTTGGATGAAAATGGGAGAAATGACACCTTCTTTTGCAGCCTCATGACGTACTGTGAAGACAGAAGGAGATGATGAGCAGTCGCTGTTGAATAAAGTTGAGATGGAAAGGGGCGTTACTAAAAGCACAGGTCATGTCAGGCAACCTGGCATCTGGGGGTCTGTTTCCTCATCCGTAAGACAGGAAAGGGGGCCACACCTTTCCCCACAGGGCGATTCCTAGGATCAACTGAGGCAGAGAAGGAAAAGCATCCAGCAGAGGGCTTGGCACCCAGCAGATGCTTCACAAATGCTACTTTCTAATAAGTAAGGTCACATCCAAGGATTCCAAATTCCCTTCCTGCAGAACACAACCCAGCCAGAGGTGTAACATCATGGGAGTGACCGGCTTCAGGGTCTATTGGCCTGATTTCAAAACCGAAGCTGGACATTTTAGCCACTGAGGGCACTGGGCAGGTGAGCCCGTCTCTCTGATCTGCAAACTCTTCCATTGTTTAGTGGGGAAAATATCACTGTCCTTGACAGCTCAGGGGGAAATGAGAAATGGAAGGTGCTTTGCACACAGTAGACACTCAGTAAGGCTAATTCCTTTCCTTGCCTTCCTGAGTAGAAATCTGTTTTCTGGGTTAAAAAGATGACATGTTTTCCAAATATCTTCCAAAAATCAAAAAATAAAAAACGGAACAAGGAAAAGTATGGTTTCCAACTTCCCACTGAGGTTTGTCAGTCACCAGGTTTCATTTACTCATTCAAGGAACAAGCATTGATTGAGCACCACTAAGCGCAAGGCTCCACACGAGGCCCTGGGGTTCTAGGAGAGAACAGACTAGACCATCGTGCTGCCCTGGTGGGTGGGCGTCCGTATGAGTCTGGTCAGTTGCTCCATGAGTACTCATTCAGTGCCTCTTCTGAGCTGACTTTCCAAGGGCCCTGGCTTTACCTGGAAGGCTCATCTATTGCTGCCTGTGTGTTTCCTGCATATCTGGACCCCACCCACTTCTCTGCCAGTTCCAGAGAACATACCTATCCTGGGTCCCAGACCTTTCGACACCATGGTCATCCTGCCCGCATGTGCTGCTTCTGTTATCCCCTCAGTCCTTTCCAGGGTCCCTGGCAAGGCCAGCGAAGCACTCCTGGGGTGAACCCATTGCACCCTGTGGGCCAGGTGTGGGCCCCAGAGAGCCTTGCCTCTTAGTTTACCTTTAGGCTTTGAATGAAATGGGAAAATGGATGGAAAGCCCTTTGTAAACTCTTAAGATTTACATGTTTACACAGGATCGGTGTTTTCTGACTTTTCCCTAGAGAGATGACAGAGACCATCCGATGTAGGAGAAAGAGGTTAGGGTTTAAGAGCGGAACAGCTAGGCTGCAACCTGGGTTCTGCAACTTATTAGCTCCGAGACCAGAGAAAGTGACATCCCCTCCTCAGTTTACTTGCTGGGTGAATGGAGGTAATAAAATACTCATCTCGGCACCTACTGTGCTCAGTAAAGGAAAAACTGGATAGGAAGGCATTTTGCAGAGGTATGTGTTGTATACTGTACTCATGTCATTAATTTAATGCACATTTATTATACACCTACTGTGTGCCATTATGAACAAGGTGATCTGTCATATGACAATTTGGAAGAAAGTCCACAGGCTAAGGGAGAGAAGAAATGCTTGTCAGATGGTTGCACTGCACATTCATAGATTATGATTAGCAACAGCCAGCAAGTTGGCATGGCAACGTTTCCCCATGAACTGCTAGGCACTGTTCTTAAAATAGGTATGTCGGAGGTGTGGCGGCAGCGGGGACACGCTGAGGCAGGATGGCTTGATTGCTCTGCAGACCAAAGTGGGCTGTTTGCTGAGAGTGGCCCTGCCATTGCTTCCCAGGCAAGCCAGCAGGGCAGTGATTCAGGTGACAGATCCGGAAACATCCATTGTTGGAGCTGGAGACGGTCTTAGACTTCCTGTAGTGTGAGCCACCTTCTTCTCCCCATTTTACAGGCGAGGAAGCTGATTCCCAGAGAGGTTAACAGACATCTGTGGTCCAGTGACAAAGCCACTTGGTTGCAGATGGGATTGAACCTGGTTTGGATGTCATCACGGAGTGTTCTCCAACTGTGCCATGGGGCCGGCTCTTCTGAATCAGAATTTTAGGTCTTGATCTGACGCAATTAATTTTCTAGTGGGCTACAATCTATGTGGCATCACCTAGCAATAGGTATGTGTTTAAGGAATTGTTTCATTTTGTGTGGAATTCTTGCCTGCTTTTCACCCTGGGGAAGCCCTGAATCCCAGGATATCTTGGAAACTCACCTACTTTTTGACTAGACACATGATTAAGCTTTAAATCTACTCTTCCATAGCCTTCCTTAGCTAGTTTCCCAGTGTGAAGTGAAGCATCAAAGCTGATCAAAGGTTTATGAATTGCTTTGCAATGAGGTTATTATATGACTTTAGTTACCCATCATTGCAGAAAACAGGCAACCCAAGTCCTTTCACAGATGAGTTCCTTTCTATTTGTTTTACTCAGCAATTTATTGAGTAAACTTTTATAAACTTGAGAGGAGCTTTTCACCTTCAGATTGTGAGCTTCTTTTAAGAAATTCACAGCTTCCCTCTGACTGCAGGGTTAAATTCCAGGTCTGAAATGTGAAACCTTTTGAGAACTCAGTCAACTTCTGAGAATAGGGTGCTAGACATTTCTGATATTTTAGACGCAACCTTTTTTCTCTGTTGAGGTAGTGCCATGCGGTGGAAAGGGCTCTGAGTTGGGATTCCAGCAAGGGTAGGAGGGGCTGCAGTCCTGCCACTTACCCCTTCCAGGTCATTTGAAGGATATAAAGACTGCATTCTGCAGTGATGATTCTTCACCCTGGTTGCATGTTGGACTCACCTGCAGAGCTTTTTAAAAAACCGATGCTCAGGCCTCTCTCCAGGCCACTTAAATCAAGTTGTCTTGAGTGGGGCCCTGGGCAGAGATCATTTTGAAAAGCTTCCCAGTGATTCTAATGGGCAACTGGGGAAGAACCATGGGAATACACTCACATAGTCTCTTTCAATTCTCCCATTCCCTGTGCTAATTAAATTCTAAAATGCTACTGTGGGTTTCTTCTATGTTAGACTCCTATTTATTTTTGCTCCTAGCTAGGAAAGAAATGTGTCCTCAGAGTCGAAAGGATGAAACGTCGTATCTTTGGAGTATTTTTGGCCATGAGTTGGCTTTGCAACTCTACCCTCAGAGGGCCTTTTAAACAGCTGATGGTTCTTATGGAAATGAAATGCATGATGTAATACTGCATGGAGCTCCACGTGGCAGATCCTGGAGCTGAGCTTTTGGTGACAGTTCCATGAAAGTTCAGATCATATAACTGGATGGGACAATAGACACACTCAATGAATCTCTTGGGTGGTACAGTTGTTTGCATCCTAAACTCCAGAATATCCAAAAAGAGATATTCTGTGATCGATACATTTACCAGTTGGGTAAGCAGACACAAGTAGATTTGTCTTTGGCATGTGCACCAATGGCCAACTGCATTTCTACCTGGCTTTGAAATAAATTATTTGAAGTTCTCTGGTGCCTTAAGGTGGTATAGAAGGAAAAGACCCCTGGAGTTTGTTAATATATTTAGTCTTCTTCTCTGTGTTACTGGATTTTCTAAAAGCAGATCATTTGTACCTTGGACCTAAAACCGCTTTCAAGAACTCAGTAGACTTGGGATTGAAGGACTGGGTTTTCCCTTTCCCACGCGAACTTCCCTAAATCCTACTCTGGCTTCAGAAAGCTCAGCTCCTACACAAGTCTGACTTCGGCATCCTTAGTGTAAACGTCTTGTATTGAGTCATGGAAAGACTAATGGAAGAATTGATAGCTCAAAAATGAGTTTTCTGCCAACAACATTTTTTTTCTGTCTCTGAAAACACCAGCAGGCTGTGTCCAAGAATGGGCTGATGTTCCCTTACAAGGGAAGAGAGAGACAAATGAATGGGATTGTTAAAAATGGCTGAAAACTTGATATGAACTTTGAGTCCATATTATCTTTTTAAAGTGATACAATACAATATTTGTAAATGGGACATTGAAAGTGATGGGGTAAAGGAATGCCTACGCAGTGATGTTCTAACCATTAACTCTTTAGTGGACAGGGACAAGGTCTGCACCTCACAGAAGTAGGAGAGTGAGTTATGGGCCCAGACACATGGCGGCTCTGCCACCAACGAACTGTGCAAGCTTGGACAAGGTACCTACCTCTCTCAGCCTCAAAGTCCTCCATGGAAATAGTGGGAAGGGGTGAGGAGTAAACAAATAGCAAGTTTCTTAAAACACTCAGCATGTCAGTGGATGCTGGGAGCCTTCCCTCACCCCTTTGAAAATGGGCTCTGCACAGACACATTTTGGTGGGAGGCTGGGGCCAATCCCACCCACCTGAGTTGGGGGAATAAGATGATCCCTTCCGCAGTTCAGGTTTGCACAACCAGCTTTTGCAGGGAAGGCAGGAAGAGGCGTGGGTGTTGTTGGTAGAGCGATAAGCAAGGCTTGCAATTTCACTTTGGTAGAACCACTGTGGTCTCCTTAGTTCTTCCAGGTTGAATCCTGGGCAGAGATCACATGAAAGCTGAGAAGCACAGATATCAGTTTAGAAATTGCGTATTTTCCCGCTGAATCCCAAATGCACAATAACTCTACACCTTGCGGTTGCATGAATCTACGAGGCTTCCTATGCACCCTCAGTAATAAACCCAAGACTCAGAATGTTGTCAGGCCAAGTCCTGCCCCTCCCTGGAGTGAGCCACCCTGCTTCACATGGGAGTGGTCCAGTAATACAACCTGAGCCTCCCCTCCGGAAGCTCTTTAGCAGGACCCTTCTCGGGTTCCGGGGCAGCGGTCTGTCCCCCGAGGCCTGCCTGCCATGAAGCCATCAGCCCGTGGAGATGTTCGTTGGATTCCCGACGGGTAGTGGGTCGGGCTCAACCCTCCCTTTGGGTTTTCAGGATTTGTAATGATCGCTCCATTTGTGTAAAATAGGCCGGCATTTTCTCTTGTTACTGAGATGTATTTTTCTATGTTAGTTAAATGTATAATTTGTGTAATTTTGTACATTAAAATGTATGCTTTTTCACAATTAAAGGGTCTTTTTTCCCTTTTGAATGTTTTATTTGTTGATGGCTTGTTCCAAAGTGTTGTCGACCCTGACATAACACAGAAAGGCAATGGATCTAGGACTCCCTTGATTTTTGGTGGGGAATAAATGCTTTTCTTGGTATTCAAATCCACTTTGCACAAATAATGAAAAATTTTCCTTTATAATCCATTATATATCTGTAGTAATTTCCTATTGCTGCTTTGACAGATGACCATGAACTCATTGGCTTAGAACAACTCACATTCATTATCTTGTAGTTCCGAAGGTCAGAGTCCTGGGCTAAAATCTCAAAATGTCGGCAGGGCTGCCTTCCTTCTGGAAGTTCCAGGGGAGAAACTGTTTCCTTGCCTTTTCTGGCTACCACAGATGCCCACATTCTTTGGTTTGTGGCCCCTTCCTTCCTCTTCAAATCTCTCTCGCTCTGACCTCTGCTTCTGTTCTCCAATCTCCCCTCCTCAGACTCCGACTCTTCTGCCTCTCTCTCACTTAAAAGGACTCTTGTGATGACATTGGCTCCACCAGGTGACCCAGGATCATTTTCACATCTTAAGACCTTTAAGCTCAGCCACAGAGTCCCATTTGCCATGTGGCGTAACATGGGCACTAGTTCTAGGGACTCAGGTGTGGGTATCTTCGGGCATCATTATTCTGCCCACCACAGCCCTGTATGTACTGATTTGGAGGCCACAGAAAAACAGCAGACATTTAAAAATCAAATGAGCCTGGATCTGAACTGCATCTCTGTCACTAGCTGGCCACATAACCAAACAGCTTATTTAACTTCTCTGAACATGTCTTCTCACATCTGAGAAGAAGACAATATTCCATTGCTGTATACCCCGACTGATAAACTACAATGCCCTTTCCTTCACTTTTTGAAAACATTATTTTTGCAATGAATTCTTTTTTTTTGTTTTGTTTTGGTTTTTTTGGTTTGCCAAAACAAAATCCACCTCGGACCTGAGCTGGCCTCATGTCCTTTCCCATCTGACTAGTCCCTTTCTGTTCTCTGCTGTCACCCAGAAAGAAGGCTTCATGTCTGACAGGATGAGCTCAAGGCTTGTCCTTCACCAAATGTCATGGTGTAATTCACTTACAAGAACTCCTTCCCAGGAGGACGGGAGCAGTTGGAGGATGGGTTGGGGGATGGGGGAGGTCACAGCTGTCATCAGGATGGGGGCAGTTTGCTCAGGCTTCCCCAGCTGCCTCTGTTGGTCCCTGGCAGACATTGCTCCCCTGTGTCTCCCTGCAAGCTGGAAGGTGCATTTCCGACCTTATACCCTGGGTTTTCTCTCCTGCCTCCCTTTCTCTGTTGTGCTTGGGTTACTGACCTTGAGATGAGATGGTGTGGAAAAAACTCAGACGAACCTGAGTTGAAATCCCAGCTTAGTCACTTTCCAGTGGTAACCTGAGCAGTGGGCTTATGGTTTGCCATCCTCGGTACTCCAGCCTGAAGATGAAGGTGGCCTGGTCTGCCACATGGGGCTGCTGAGGTAGCCGGCAGCGTGTAGAGCAGAATGTGATGCACAGAAATGAAGCGTGTGTGCAAAGACCCTTATGCGCAGTAGGCAGCCCCAGGAGTTCCCGGTCCCCTCCTCTGCAGGGGGAGAGAAGCGTCAGGGGAAGTGATATAAAGTCAGTGACACACAGTGGGTGCCCCAAAGGTGTGTTAGATGAATGTTGAATGATTAGTTGCCCAAGACTACATAGAAAACAGGATTCTAACTCAACCACCTAGACTCTTCTGCCTAAACCGGGTCCCTTTATCTCTCCTTTCCCAGTGGGACCACGTCAGTCAGGCTCTTGGAGAGAGAAAAGAGTAGTTGTTTCAACGTGAACTCTGGCACCAGACTACTCTGTTTACACCTTGAAGTCTCAATTGCCAGCTGTGACCCTGGACAGATTATTTATGTCTCTGAACCTCAGTGTCCTCATCTGTAAAATGAGGCTAAAATGGTACTTCCAAGGTTGATGCGAAGCATAAAAGTGTTACTATCTGTTAAGTGCCTACAAGGGTCTGGGCACCTGGTAAACATCCTATACGCAGAAGCTACGAAGATCGTTTCCTGTTTCTGCATAAAGACGGCCCTTTCTCAGCTCCTTCCGGGTGTCACTCTCTTGTCTTGGCAACTGCCCAGCCCTTTCTCACGATGGAAAGGGTTTTCTTTAAAAGCAGTAAGATTTCCATCGCCACCAGTAAAGCCTGAGAGACTGTGTCCTCGAGCTGCTGAGAGCAGATTCAAGCATGCAGGAGGAGGCCTGGCTTCCAAAGTTCTGTCTAACTCAGATTCTTGAGTTTTCTGATATTTCTCTGGGTTTTGTCACCCTAAACATTTGCGGGGTTTTAGAAGAAGTTTCTGTGTGGTCTTCAACATGAAATGTCCTTGCCTGGCACAGGCTAGGAAATAGTATTTCATAGGACAGAGAAAAATTTTCATTGAAAAATCGAAAACACTTACAAGATAGCCTGGAGGCCTACAGACCTCAAGAGGAATGTCTGTGGCAAATCTGCACAGCAGGCTCAGGGACACAAGGAGACAGCAGCCAGGATGCGGCTGTGAAGGGTGGAGGCAGATGGAGGATGTGGGGGGGACTTTCTGTTCTCGCAGTCAGCAGTCTTTTCCCCATTAGAGTGCACACTTGTTGAAGGCAGACTTAGAAATACTCATCTGCGTCCCCACACTAGTCTCTCTCTCAAGCACAGAAAATGCTTGCTAAGTGGATGAGCCCACGCTCCAGGTCTGGCTGAGCCTCCTTGAGGTTGAGGCCCTGAGGGAGCCACTTCATGTCTCCCCTCCTGTTTCCTCTTCCAAGAGGGGGCAGGTAACAATACCTACCAGCTGCACAGACCCCTTGTTCTAGGGTTGAAAGACAGCATGTTCAGGGAGGTGTCAGCTGAGGCCATGGATCCAATGCCCCAGAATCCTCAGTCCATGGGGCGGGAGAGTCAGACAACAAGAACATGAATCCATCTGTCTGTCTGGCATTCTTGGAGCTTGGCCACGCTGTGGGAGCTCTGGCTTGCAGCTGGCTGGGCCAGGAGTTGAAGGGACAGCTTCCAGCATGGGAGGCTGTGGGTAGGGGACATTGCAAGAAGCATGGATGCTCCCTTCTGCAGTCCCCATCCAGTCCTGACTTTGCTTGTCTGGACTCGCCTGAGGAGGGGGTCGGCAGCTGGGATTCTGCCTCTCCAGAAAGTGCAGCTGGGACTGCAAGGTCTCCAGGGACTTGCAGGATCCTCTGCCTGATAATCTTGAGAAATAAGGGAAAGTGTCCATAGGAGGCAGGTGGTGCCTGGCCTCAGAGGAGAGCCCCAGCAGGGCGACCCCCACATCAGAGGAATCCCAGAATGCCCAGAGCGCAAGCTCCAGGAGCAGCAAAAGCGGACTGTGCCCCTCATATCCGGGGAGATCTGTCTGTCTGGTTGACTGCCAGCTGTGTGTGTGGTCATCTCTGTCTCTGTGCGTCTTTCTCCGGAGCGTTTTCATTTAAGCTTTTGACTCCCCTTATTCCTGGTGTGGACTAGTGTGTGGGCATCCTGCTGTCAGTTTACGATGCACGTGTGGATTCGCCTTGAGTTTGCCTTTGATATTGGTGTGTCCTGTGGTGTCTTTGGAGTGCACGTGTATGTGTGTGTCACTGATCCCCATGCAAAAATGTACTTCTCTTGCGTGTCTGTGGGAGTATGCCTCTAACATGGCCCTCTTGGCTGCTGCACCACCCTTCCTGGCCCTTACCACCCCTGGGCCCAACATGCGGGTGCTTTTGTCTCCTCCTCCTCTCTTTAGAAGGTCAGCTCCTGGAGGGCAGGCACTTGGTCTGTTTTGTCCATGGCTCTGTTCCCAGCTTCTACAACAGTGCCAGGCACTAGTGGGCGCTCAGTAAAATAATGCTGAGGGAATGTACCGTGTGTCCAATGCATGTGCCTCTCCAGTTGTGCAGTTAATCTTGGTGTGATGCTGTGCATGAGTGGGGTTGTGAGACAATGAGATTTTCTGGTGTGTGTGTAATGAACTCAGAATGTGCACAAGCATATGTGTGTGTATGTATGTACAACATTGAGTATGATGTGCATGAGCCAGCCCCTGTATATCTCGGGAGAACGTGTGTAATTGACTCTCGTGTGCGTGTCAGCATGTCTGTGTATCTCTCGTGTTTGGTGTAATTGGCGTGCAGGTATGAACCCGCGTGGACCTCCGGAGCGTGTGGGCGTGCGGGTGTACTCACTGGGCTCCCGGCCCGCGCTCTCCTCGCGCCCTGCGCTCCGCCTGGGGGAGGGGAGTGGGGGTGCGGCGAGGGCACTGCGGTGCTGCGGCCCGCCCTCCGCGCTGCGGCTCCGGCGCGTCACCATCCCTCCCCGCCCCAGCCGCGGTCCCCGCCTCCCGGTCCTTTGTAGCCGGCCGCGCCGTTAGCCCGCAGCCGCCCGGAGGCCCCGCCCCGGCCCCGCCCCGGCGTGCGCCCCGCCCCGCCTCTCCCCTCCCCGGGCCGCAGTCGCGCCGGGGCCGCCGCGGGCCCGCACCAAGGCGCGGAGCGCGGCGCACGGCGGTGGCCAGGGCCGCGGGCGGGCGGGCGGGAGCGCGGCGGGTGGCCGGCCTTGGACGGGTATGGCGGACCGGCGGCGCGTGTGGAATACGGAGGACGACCTGCCCGTGTACCTGGCGCGGCCGGGCAGCGCGGCGCAGACCCCGCGCCAGAAGTACGGCGGCATGTTCGCCGCGGTGGAGGGCGCCTACGAGAACAAGACCATCGACTTCGACGCCTACAGCGTGGGCCGTCGCGGCTCGGCGCGCACACCGCGCAGCGCTGGCCGGCCCGACGCGGTCGGACTGCCGGGGCCGGGCGGCAGCGAGGACACGGCCAGCGACGTGAGCGAGCCCTCGGGCTCCGCGGTCAGCTCGCCAGGAGAGCGCGACGAGCGGCCCCCGGCGCTGCGCATCCGCTGCCCAGCGCCCCGCGACCTGCCCCTCGGCCGGGACAATGGCCAGGTACCCTCGGGGAGCGC